GTCCTTTCCCACACGCCTCCCACGGGGAACAGGAAAACAAAACATGTGATAGAGACAGTCAGTTTGGTGGACACTGGTCAATTCACTCCCTTGGCTTGGCCGATAATGTCCCCGAAATGACCAAATAAATCATTCGCTGAAGCGTCTCGTCGACCTAACTACAGCGAATGATTTTCTCTCGTGTGCAAGGAGCAAGTGGAAAAGGGTTACGAACGATGAGCTGCCCACCTCTATCCTCTGCGGGGCCGTCACCATGAAAACCAGCGTGAAGGAGTTTACGGAAACGTCCGCTGTCTTTGACGATGGCACAGTGGAAGAAAACATCGATGTGGTGATCTTCACGACAGGGTACACGCCTTCCTTCCCCTTTTTTGAAGAACCTCTCAAAAGCCTTTGTACGCAGAAGAGGTTTATGTACAAATTCGTCTTTCCCTCGAACCTTGAGAGGGCCACACTAGCTATCATCGGCTTCCTCTCCTTGAAAGGGGCCATCTTAACAGCTACGGAGCTCCAGGCACGATGGACCACGAGAGTGTTCAAAGGTACCCTGACTCTATTGAAAGACCCGTGTGGTCAACTGAGTCTTTAAATTAGTGCCCTGCGATTTAGCCAGAATCAAACAGGTGTCAGCTGAATATGGAAATATCAAAAAGTTTCGTGGAAAATTCATTTTCTACACATGTAATATTATCATGGGTGTGCTTATGTCACTGATGAGGCAAAGTGAAAAAGAGGTTTTGACTCTATGGATGGGGTAAATGTGGACCACGGAATATAATCACTTTTCCCAGATTAACTGAAATTAGTGGAAGTTTCAGGGTCTTATTCTGTTCTAGTCTAGTCTACTTACTTTTAAAGCTTTCCATGTATTACTAGACGTAGAATTTTGCTTCCAAAGAAAGAATCACGTACACTGTAAATAAAGTCGAGTTCTGAGGAGATAATAACCTTTAAGAAATGCCTGTAAAAAATATTCTAGACCCTGGATATTAACAGTCGTCAGTTATCACTATAAAGGGGGCAGGTGAGGGAGCCAGGACCCCCGGGGTCCAATCCTCAATCTGAAACTCATGACCTTTTTAAAGACCTCTCTGAACCTCAGCCTCTTCATCTGTAAAATGGGGATAATAAAATCTCTGTCACAAGGATTTTGCCAAGTGCAGTTAGCACACAGAAAATGCTAAGTGATCGCCGTCATTCTTACTATTGCGATTTTCATCATACTTCTCTAAAGTAAGGAAAAATTTAAATTAGTAAGCATTTTAAAGGATTGCATTTGTATTATTTTAAACCAGGAATGGCAATCACAATTGAGCCAACCAGCTGTCCTTTAGCAGAATTTTGTCCTTCATGAACAAAAACAATCACTAATAATTTATAAATGGCATGTATCACCCAGGACTAAGTAGTACTGACTTTATCACACTGTACAAACATAATGTCAAATTCCACAGCCTTTCATTAAGTTATCACAAATTTTTATTTCTTTAAGGCTAATTAAAGTGTTTTTGTAGCATTATCTGATTATATTGAAACTCTTAAGGTACCTGGTGGTGTTTTTAAGTATTCTATAAACAAGCTCAAAATTGCTTCTCCGAATGATAGAGCTGACAAAACCAAACCAGGTTAGGTCATATCACAGGGTTAATTTCACGCTTCTCACAAGCCTCCCAGAGGCCACCCGAGAACCACCAAGTAAAGTTTTTACGGGATGAAATGACCCTGGTGACAACTACACTGCAGAGATAAGACTGGCCCATGTCATGTGGACAGCAGCCCCACACCCTGGCTTCTGATGGAGCTGCCTCACGAGGGCAGAGTCCAAGCGCTGAGGCCACCCAGGGGGGAGGTCGAGACAACAACTCAGCAGGCAGAGCCTCTGGGACACCGAGAGACCGCCAGGCCCCTTCCAGGCTTGAGGGTCCCTATGTAACAAAAGTAAAGACACACCTAAGCAGGTGTACAAAAGTGGGGTCATTTTAAGTGTTTACGTTTAATCAACCGATAGCTTTAACACATACACATACAAATATAAATGGGGGTATGTATGCAATATGAGACAAATAATGTATATAAACATGTCATGTGCCAGGCAATGAAGGGGACAGGAAAGGCCAGCAGGGCCAGGTGCTGATGACCAGTGAGTCGGTGCCACTCAGGGCTGGGCCATGATTCTGGCAGTAGCGCCCCCTGGGTAAGGGAGCTCAGAGTGGGGTTTTACCCCCCGACAGTGACTCTCTGAGCTCTAATTCCAGTCTGAGCTTTGACTGTCATGGGTCCTGAGGCTGGAGCCGAGGCGGGCCAGAGAGGATGGGAGGAGAACTCAGAGGAAAAGCCAGCTGTGACTTTAGTGTTTGTTTTCAATTTGTCTCACAGGACTCTGTAAGATACCTCCATCCCAAAAGCTGATGGCTGAGTTTACCAAAAAGGAGCAGCTCATAAAAAGGTATGGAATGTAGCCTGCTACAGGGAAAACTTACCAAACTATTCTGTCATCACAACCACCAAAACACAGCAAGCTATAACAGCCATCGCACGAGCAGCAGCATGGCGGGTTAGAAATAACTGCATTGGGAGTCAGGAGAACATGTATGGGTCCTCACCCTTCCACCCACTAGATTTGTGTCCCGAGCCGTCTCAGGTGGGGAGCCACCGTCCCTCTGCGGCGCACAGAGCCTGGCCCCCAGCACGTGGCAATCCTGTGCTCGCCCCCCAGAACCCCGACTTGTCTTTGTTCTGCCCCTGCCTCTCAAGCTGCTCTCTCTCTGCATTTCCTGGTGTCTCCTCATCCTCGCCCCTAAAAATTGGTGAACCCCAACCTTGGTCCTCAGACCTCTTCTCGTGTCAACTAACGCTCACTCCTAAGTGGCTTCGCCCAGGCCTGTGGCTTTTATGGCTATCCTGTCGCTGGCCCAGCGCTCTCTCCAGCACCCCACTCCTCATCCAGGCCTCTCTCGGCAGCCCCGCTGGGGTAGGTAACAGGCATCTCTAATTCAAGCTGTCCAAAAGCGAACTCAGCCCCACCACTGGCCTCCCGCCCAGCCGGTGGGCTCCTTCTCAGTGGCTGCGCATCCCGGTGACCCGTCAAAACCCCTGCAGTGACCCTTCCGCCGTCTGTGTCTCGCACCCCACACCGGCTCCTACTATCACATGAATCCGGACTCCACGCCCTTCTTCCTACTCCTGCTGCTGCCACCCCCTCTCTCACGCGGACACTTGGGGTCACCTCTCGTCGGGCGATCTCACCCCGCTTCCACTCTGCTGTTCTGCAGCCTAGTCCCGACTCCGCAGCAAGAGCCGGCGGCGCCCCGCTGCTCTTCCATTCGAAACCCTCGGAGGCGCCCCAGAAAATCCCCTGCAGCTGTGCGGCCCTGCGGGGCCACCAGCCACCTCTCCGCTCTCTTCGCCTGCTGTTCCCCGCCTACGCGTCCCCCCAGGGCGCTCCAGTCGCCCCCGCTCCTCACACATGCCAGGCAGACCGCCCCCCACGCCCCCGCCCCCCAGGACCATGTGCAGTTACCGGTCCCTCTGCCGGGAATGTTCTAACCCCCTCAGATACCCGAAGCTCACTCTGTCTACACATCACCTCCTAAGAGAGCGGCCTTCTCTGACAGCACCACATGAAACGCAAGCCACCCAGCCTCCGCGTCACTGCCCCTGCCCCTGCCCCTCCCCTGCCCTACGTGCCTTCCTGTTCCCTATTACCACCTGACATATTACGTATGTGTTTGGCCATTTTTTTTTTATAGCCTGATGATTTCCCTCATTAGATTGCAAGCTCCTTGAGAGCAAAGACTTTGTTAGATTCACTGTTGGACACCTAGCACCTCGGATGATGCCTGTCTGTGATAGACTCTTGTTTACTGAAGGAATAAATGAGTGAACGATGCTGAGACATCATGAAAGTTTATGAGTCATAGAAATAGGTAGGAATAAAGCCTTCATACACACTCTGCTCGTAGCCGTGTCGACTCTCCATTAACATCAATAAAAACAATTTAGGAGGCCGTGTACATGATGCTTTCTGGTCGCGTTCATCCATCCAACAACTATTGCATTTGGACCGATCAGATGTTGCCCTCATTTTAAATTCGAGAACCTAAAACATGATTTAAAGCTCCTCTTCCCGTCGCCTCCTTTTACCATCTCTGTTAACAAAATGAATTATCCTCGCAAACACCCTCTGCGAGTAAACTGACTGTTTTCGCTCTTTTCATCATAGAAGAACATCCCCAAACATGGTTTGACTCCAATAAAAAGCAACGAAATGGTAGGAGGAGGGGTGACGCTCGTAACTGGAAAATGAAAAGTGATCCGTCTTTTTCCCTCCCAGGAAAGTGATGGAAGACGTTGGCAAGGAAAAAGCTGACTACATCTCCTACATGGACGACCTCGCCTCGCACACCGGCACGAAGCCCAACATTCTGCTCCTGTTCCTCCGGGACCCCAGACTAGCCTGGGAAGTTTTCTTTGGACCATGTACTTCATACCAGTACCGCCTAATGGGTCCTGGGAAATGGGATGGAGCCAGAAATGCCATCTTGACCCAGTGGGACAGGACACTGAAACCCTTAAAAACTCGATTCGTTCCTGATTCCCCCAAGTCTGCCTCTCTGTCACATTACTTAAAAGTTTGGGGAGTGCCTGTCCTACTTGCCTCTCTTCTACTGATCTGCAAATCTTCACCTTTTTTGAAATCAGTGCGAGGTAAACCGTAAGATAGAATTTCCCCTTGCCTAATCAGTCTTTGGTGAGGATGAGTCTGTTTGGTTACGACAGTACCAAGTCCTATTAATTCTATCTCCAAATATCTTGTGCATCCTTCCTCTCTTTTCCATCATAATTGCTGTTATCCAAGTTGATTCGATCATCTCTTATGGGAATTATTATTCTGTCTTCCTCTCTAGCGTCAGTACCTTTCCCATCCACAGTCTACCTGGTAATTATTCTAATACACATACACACACACACACGCACGCAGTCATTGTTTCCGTAAACATCAATATCCCGGTAGGAATAAGATGGCACTCGAATTAGGTAAATTGTGGAAATTTTAACATAGAGACTATTTCAAAAGGTATGGGCAAATGTAGAGAAATAACGGGGATAAAGAATATTCCCAGACTAGTAACAATGCCAGTCCACTAACAGCTAATTTTATAAGTAAAAGACAACCCAGGTGGCAATTAGAGTAAATACAGCTAACAATACAGCAACCGTACAACCTAGTGTTCTGCTCGAAAGCACTAACTCTAAAATTCAACCTGGATGATAAGCCTAGCTCTGTCATTAGCTGTGAGGCCTTGGCCAACTTAGCCTCTCTGAGCCTCATCCACAAAACGAGAAAGGTAATAATAGTACCTCCCTTAAAAGTGAACTTTAAATGAGACAATATAAGGTATTAGGTACATAGTAAATCAACCGTTAATAACCGAAGAGTCTGAGGACATTTTCGATTTTCTGAATTAAAAGATTTGAAAACCGTCACTGGCTCCGTTCCCTGTTACCTGACGGGACAGTATGGCCTTTGCTCCCCGTGGGTTCTTCAGTAGCAATTTCCAGCTAGGATCTCTCTTTTGTCTTTGTGTCCCCACCAAACCACTGAGGCCTGTAGCCACCACCATCCCTGCCACCACCGCCACCACCACTCATGTGCAATTCGCAAAAGGGAACTTGTTTTCAATCATTAGGACTGGACCTTCTGCTAGAGCTTATCTAGGATTTTACCGATGACATCCCCCACTAGAAGGGGCACCTCATTCCAAACCTTCGAAATCAACTGAAGATTACCAACAGGAACATTTAAGCTATCTGTCCCTGAGTTCCTGAAGGAGAAAGCAGACCTGAGATGTCATCTATAGATAATGTTGCTATTTTTTCCATGTATTAATTTTTAGATGAGAAATCAAAGACTCAGAGAAGTCATATGCCCTGATTCACAGAGCAAGAAAGAGACAGAATAGAGATTTGCAGTGTTTGCAAATTTCCATGATGCAAATACTCCCACCATTTCGACCCACCGGCCTGCACATGGCATTGGGAGGAAATCCCTAGAGCTGGCTTGGCATCTGAGGACCGGCTGACTGGGTGCACTATGTTTCTGGTCCAATGGAGCGTTCGCAGGGACACGAAAGTTAGCTGAAGTTTGATTTGCTGATGTGGCACCCTGGGAAGGAGTTGGCTCCATCTCGGGCCTAGAAACGTATTTCAACAAATGTAAGGAGTTGTTTCTATTTCTCAAGAGCTGAAGTCCTCTCCCTAGTCACATCTCCTTATACAGGCTTTAAGAAAATAAGTCAAAAGTTTAAATTAAAAAAAAAAAATTGTACGAGAGGTCAGTTAGGTATGTGTGATATTATGATTTATACAGAGATATATGTATCTGCTCTTTGTCCTGTTCCTGGCATAGGGCTCCTTAAACCCTTGAAATTTCCTAAGTCATAAGAACTATAAAGATGTCTTTTATCATTCATAACAAGCCCCTTTCAAACATACTCGAGTTTATTATCAATGTAGTAACTTTTGGAAAGTTCATAAGGATAGAGCCTGGTTGCCAAGGGAACAAACAAAATGATTAGAGGATTGGAACTTTCAGCCCCACCCCTAGACCTCCTGGTTGGGAAGAGGGACTGGAGGTTGAGTTCATCGGTAACGGCCGATGACCTAATCGATCGTGCCATGTGACAGAATCTCCAAAAACAAAAGGATGGGCTTCAGAGAGCTTCCAGATTGGTGAACAGGAGGAGATGTTGGGAGGCGGGTACACCCAGAGAGGGCGTGGAAGCTCCACGCCCCTTCCCACATAACCGTGCCCTTTGCATCTCTCCCATCTGGCTGTTCCTGAGTTGTATCTTTTTGTAATAAACCAGTCATGTATCGAGTAAACTGCTTGAGTTCTGTGAGCCACTCCAGCAAATTAATTGAACCTGAGAAGGGGGTCATGGGACCCTCGGATCTATAGCTGGTGGGTCAGAAGCACAGGTGATGACCTAGACTTGAACTTGGCATCTGGAGTTGGGGCGTGGGCATAGTCTTGCGTTCCAGAATGGCTTGATGTGTAGAAAGCGCCCACATCCGGTGTAAGAAGTGAAGTAGCATTGGAATAGAGATGGAGAGCAGAGGAGATGCAGAGGACTATCTTTCCTTTACAGTGTAATGCTAGCCACCTAATTAGGCAGGTGAGCGTGAATCACCATATGCATGAGACTTTCAGATATGTCATCCGGCACTGCAGAATTCTTGCTGGCAGGGTTGTGCAATTCTAGCTATTTGGCATAACTCCGAGTAACACGTGGCCTACAGGCCATAGACAGCCAACCCAGGCTTGCAATGCAGCTTGGAATCTAATATCAGAAATCCTTGAATCCTAATAATGGAGGAACTGAGATCCACTTAGAGAGACTCCGCCTAAGCTCTGGTCTGACCCTGGCTGATCACACCTCACAGGTAGGGAAGGACCAGGTAAATGCCCGACCTGCTGTGTGTGCAGTTCGCCAAGAGAGGTCATTGGAAAAGCCAGTCCGGACTGGGACTTGGGCCTTTACAAGGGGTCACCGCTCAAGCTAACACTGAGGCAGCTTCCCTCAGAGCGGCAGCTATGAGTCTTTCCATCTCCACAGTCAGGAATGAAACACAAGTCCGAGGGACGATTCATAATCCCATAACATTCCAAAAATATTGTTACAGTCATTTCATCTTCTATCACTGATCATATAATTCACATTTTTAATATAAAAGTATGATTTAAATGAAAGAATGTAATATTAAGACATATTACGGAGCAAACCACATTTCACGAGGTCATTCGAGGATTATTAAAAATAAACCAGTTATACAAGTCTCTTGCTCTACGATAAAATGCATTCAAAGATCAGCATTACAATTAGATCCTTCTGTTGCAATTTCCGAAAATTTATCTCCCCAAAAAGAAATCCTTCAAGTAAAGGAGAATTTTTTTTTTTTTAAAGGACTAAACTTAAACGATTGCATTTTCTAGTGTAATAACAATATGGATAATAACTCATTAGGAAATAAATCGAGCTCAAAAGCATTTATTTTTCTGGACTACCCTTATGCATACGTAGGGGAGCAAGATTGACCACCGCAAAGTGTGTCCATTTGGCATAGGGTTAATTTAAGCTAATTACTTTTAAGAAACATGAGACTCAGGAAGTTTTTTTTCTCGTTACCTCCCACTTAGGGTGGGATGGTGAGAAATGCAGGATAGTAATCATTTAAGTGCCAAATTATATAAAAACACTAAAATAAATGTGGAGGTCCCAGATGGCCATGGCATAGGAGGACACTGAACAAGTCCCCCCCACCCCATGAGCAAACTCAAAAATACGTTATAGAGAGCAGTGACTCCTGCGAGACAACTGAATGCTGAGTGAACAGCTTAACAACAAACGAGAGAAACAGACTGAACACAGAAAGCTGGGAGCTGTGACAGCTCTCCAGAGGAGTGAGTGAGTGTCATTGTATGTCCCCCTCACCTCCATGGGGTGGTGGGAGCCTACCTGGGGCTTTGGCCTCTCTGTAGGATCCCCGCAGAGTGGTGCCAGCTACATCTCCTGGAGCCTTATGTCTCCGAACAAAGGGAGCAAGCAGGAACCACCACCAGTCACCATACGCACCTGGCCTCCATTCTGAGTAGTGCTCCTGACGCCAGGCAGGCCAATGCCCCATGCACCATAAAAGCTGGCTCAGCTTCAAGCGGCTTCCCAAACTACCCAGCACAGAGAGCCCACACAGAGGTCTCTTCCACACAGACTACTTTCAGTACAATAAACAAGAGAGAGGCTGTGTAGCGAAGCTGCAGGAGCCTACCAAGAACTTCGGGAAGTCTCTGGAGTTGGAGGGGCAGGTGAGCACCACTGTTTGCGTCCCCCCACCTCTATAGGGCCGGCAGGGGCTCCATCCAGTTTCTCTGGCCTGGTTGCAAGGTCTCTGAGCCCAAGCCCACTTCAGCCCAAACAAAGGGAGCAAGCCGAATCAACGGGGCATTACTGCATGCACCTGGCCTCCCCACCTGGAGCCACTCTGACTCAGTGGGCCAGTGCCCCAAAAGCCTTAGGCACCCACTCATCTCCCACCAGCCTGCCGAAACCATCCGGCACACACAGTCTACAGAGCCTGCTTCTACATAAGACCACTTTTACAAGGCTGGAAGAGAAAGTTACTTTGTCTAATTCATATAAACAAACACAGAAAGGCAAACAAAATGAAACGACAGAAGAATATCTCTCAAAGGAAGGAACAAGAAAAATTCCCAGACCAAAAAAAAAAAAAACCAAACCCTAAGGAAATGGAAAAATAAATAAATAATTTGCCTGATAAAGACTTTTAAAAAACAGTCAGAAGGACGTTCACAGAACTCGAGAATGGAATACAGGAACTCAGGAAGAACTTCAACAAAGAGTGAGAAAGTGTAAGAAAGAATCAAGCAGACCTGAAATATACAATAACTGAGATGAAAAACACATTAGAAGGAATCAACGGCAGATTAACTAACACTGAAGTACAACCAAATATTAGCAAATGGGATTCAACAATACGTTAAAAAGATTATACACCATGACCAAGCGGGATTCATTTCAGAGATCCAACATTCATAAATCAATCAACGTGATATGCCACATTACCAAATAAAGGATGAAAACCACAAGATCATCTCAATCGATCCAGAAAGAGCATTTGACAAAATTCAACATCCTTTTATGATAAAAACGCTCGACAAAGTGGGTTTAGAAGGAATATATCTCAACATGGTAAACACCATAAATGACAAACTCCCAGCTAACATCAATGCTGAAAAGCTGAAAGCCTTTCGTCTAAGATCAGGATCAGGACAAGGATGCCCACTCTAGCCACTTCTATCATTGGAAGGCACAGTAACCAGACAAGACAAAGAAATAAAAGACGTCCAATTAAAAAGGAAGAACTAAAACTCTCATTATTTGCAGATGACATGATACAACATATAGAAAACCCTGAAAACTACACCAAAAAACCGTTAAAACTAATAAAGGTCAGTAAAGTTTCAAGATACAGAATCGATATACAGAAATCTCTTGTTTTCTGTATGCCAATAATGAATGATCAGAAGAAGAAATTAAGAAGACGATCTCATTGACAATTGCATCAAAATGTATTTAAAAAAACCTAGGAATAAACTTAACAGAGGCGAAAGATCTTTACTCTGAAAGCTATAAGACAATGAAGAAATAAATTGAACAAGATACAAAAAAATAGGATACGCCCTGCTCATAGACCAGAAGGATGAATATTGTTAAAATGTCCTTACTACCTACAGCGGTATACAGATTCAATGCAATCCATATGAAAATACCAATGGCATTCTTCTCAGGATTAGAACAGTTAATCCTAAAATTTATATGCGACCAGAAAAGACTCCAAATAACTGAAGAAATCCTGAGAAAGGACAAAGTGGGAGGTATCATGCTCCCTGATATCAAACTATACTG